CAATTCTAGTATGAAACTCTAAACGATTAAGTATGTAAAGACATAGAATTAAGAAAGTGCATAGAAATCAAATCAAAGCTAGTACTCTAACATGTTTTCCAACACGTAGCAGCAAGAGTAAAGCACATAAACATAAAGATAAATCGTTGATCTACAAAGCTTAAGGAGTTAGATCTCTTCTTTTCGCAATAGGGCAAAGTCAATCTATCCTTAAAGACTTTTAGAATCAATTATGCATTAAGAACAAGAGAAAAATGAAATACATGTTTAGGTATTGATTTAGGCTGTTATGGCCGGCTAATTAAGTTCCTAGAGAGGCTAAAAACAAGTATATATAGGGGTTTAAGGAGGCTTAAGTCATCTAGGTCTTCTTCGGGCAAAAACGTCTTTTTGGTCGAAACTGAGGTAATACCGGTCACAATACCGGTCGGGTTGCGTGACCGATATTTGAGGCTTCTATGGCACTTCTAGAAGGTTGACAAAGGTCTGGATCATCGGCTCATGGGCGGCCCGGTGCTTGGCTTCCTTGTGCACTCACTTCACTTCGAAGGCAGTTTGACATATTCTCAGTTTTTCCAGTGTATCTTCTAAAGTACAGCTCCAATTGATGAAATTCCAACTCCATTGGAAAGCTAACTCAAAGGGCTATCTCTATACCAAGTTTCATTAAGTTACCAATTGATTTGGTCCTCCGTTCATCAGTGAATTTCTGACTTATACGTTCTGTCCAGTTTGAGAATATGCATTATCTTCAAGAAGAAACGACTTGGCTTGGTTCTTTTGACTTGAATGAGTAGCTGCATCATAGATAACACTCTTTTTGCTCCATTTTATATCATTTTGTTGATAAAACCTGTTAAGACCTTAAAATCTACAAATACGAGAAAACTACCTCTTTTGGTCGAAAAACTTTATTAATATATATAAAAACCATAGTAAAATAGATAGTAAAAATGGTAAAATATAGGGTATATCAAAAATCCAACATTGAGCTTTTGTGGAAGCAACGTTGAGGCGGTGGGCGCTTTAAT